GCCATCTGCAACCCTCTGCTCTATCTAGTGGTGATGTCCAAAAGACTCTGTGTTGTGTTATTTAGTTTATCATGTTTAATTGGTTTTATAAATTCTACAGTTCATGTAGGATTATTATTTAGATTATCTTTCTGTAGGTCTAAGTTTATTGATCATTTTTTTTGTGAAATCTTGCCACTCTATACAATTTCTTGCACAGATCCATCTCTTAATGAATTGGTTGTTTTTATTTTTGCCTCTTCTATACAAATCAGTACGTCTGTGACTATTGTAGTCTCTTATGCCCGTGTCCTATTTGCTGTCCTGAACATGAAGTCTGAGAAGGGCAGAAGAAAAGCTTTTTTCACCTGCAGTGCTCACCTGTTCTCTGTGTCTTTGTTCTATGGCACTCTCCTCTTCATATATGTGAGTCCTGGGTCTGGATCAGGTAAACAAAATGACAAAATATATTCTCTGTTTTACACCGTTGTGATTCCTATGCTAAACCCCTTTATTTACAGCTTAAGAAACAAGGAGGTTTTGGGTGCTCTGAAAAAGGTCATAACATGACAATCATTTTCAGAAAATTTTGAAATTCATTCTATTAATTTTTCCTCTCTTTTGCAATGCATAATAATATTTAATCCTGTGTATTACACATATTTTACTTATTATGAAATAAAAAATAAAAACGTAGAAAGTGAATGGTTATCTTAGTAATATTAATATAAAATAGTTAACAAAGACTTAAAGAGCTATTTCTAGTTATTTTTTATTCACTATGAAACTTAATTCATTTAATTATTTTCTTATTAAATTAACATACTCTTAGTTTAAAATCTGTATTAAATTTTTCATCAAAAATGTATTCCTTTAAGAACCAATCATAGGTTGTGTAAATAATTTGTTTAAACATTTTTTCTTCTAAACATTTCCGTAGGAAATTTCATTTTAATAATATGTAATTATGTTACCAGTACATAGATAAATTATACTTATGGAACATGTGACAAGGAACACCACCTAAACAATTTAAAAGAGATATTTCATGAGAATTGAGGGTAACCTGAATGTGATATACATTTATATTCTATAAAAGTTTTTTAAATTTAAAAGGATTAAAATCAAATAAGCATTTTTTTCACGGGTCGTGTAAAGAAATTTTAAATTCTTAAAAAACAACTCTTTTTTTCTTTTGCCTACACATAGCCTTTGTTTTCACATATTTCTTTGTCTCTGGCATTTATTAGCCAAGGTCTTCAGTGAGTCTCACTAGGAATAAGATGAGCAGATCCACTGTACTTTACGCCATGGCTAAATGAAATCAGCAACATCATTAAAGAATGTTCTTGCCACTAAGGTTTATAATTTCTCTGGGTGTTGGAACAATATGAGAAAGACGAAAGCACGTCGAACAGCATCCGCTGCGACAACCAAAAATGTAGAATATTTTCAAAACTGACTATGCGATTTACCCAAACATTTGAAGGGAAAAGGAACACAACTGTTGTCCTAAGTGTGATGCGGCCCCACGGGCTCTGACATTGGGCACTTAGTTCCTCATGGGTGGCACTGCTTGGAATGGTTAGGGAACATTGAGGGGGGCAGCCCTGCTAGGGGTCGATAAAAGCAGGTCTAAAGCCCCTCCCCCTTCTTTTGTGCTGCTTCCTTGCTTCCCTGGTGGGTTGTTCTGCACTGTGCCCTGTTGCTTTAAACTTGGCCACACTGACCTCCCAGCTTCTTTTTCCTCTGTTCCTATTATTCTTAGGTTTTGTTTTTTCATGTTGTCTTGGATTTCTTGGATGGTTTGTCTGAGGAAATTTTTAGGTTTATTATTTTCTTTGATGGATACATTGTCTCTTTCACACCTGAGATTCTTCTGTCTCTTGTAGTCTGTTGGTTATGCTTACCTCTGCAGTTCCTGTTTTCTTCCCTAAGTTCTTCCTCTCCATGATTTCCTCTGTTTGTGTTTTCTTTAATTTTTCTAATTCTGTCTTCAGATCTTGAGTCGTTTTGTTGATTTCCTTCACCTGTCTGACTATATTTTCTTGTTTTTCTTCAATTCCTTCACCTTCAATGATGTTCAATGTTTCTTTGAACATTCCTCTGTTTCTTTAATTTCTTTCAGTGATTTAATTATTTCTTCTCTAAAGGCCACAAACTGTTTGGCGCCATCTTCCTGTATTTCTTGATGGATGGCCTTAATCTGTTTATCTTTATCTTCCTCTATTTTTTTTCTGGATGGCCATAATCTGTTTGACTTTATCTTCCTCTAATTCTTTACACATTTTGTTTGTTTTCTATTAATCTCTTCATCAGCATAGATGCAAGGTCATCTTCTTGACTTTCATTTATGCTGGGGTGTCCAGGGCTGCTTGCCCCTGGATAACTGGGTTCTGGAGATGCCATATTACTCTGTCTTTTGTTGGTTGAGCTTTTACGCTGGCCTTTACTCATTGGGCTATCTTAGGTGTTGGTTGTTGGTTTCTGGTGCTTCCTGGAATCCTGGGGTGTGGAGAATCCCCTTGGCAGGAAGATGATTTTTCCCGAAGGAGGACTCCTCAGCTTTTTTGGTTTGGTCACCGGGTTTCTCAGGAATTGCCACAGCTCATTTCAGGCATAGACACCTGAGTGGTAACTGGGGTCTATGTTAGTCAGGGGGGACTCTCCTCTTGCCAGGAGAAGTCCTAGAGACAGCTGCCCTGCTGCTGGGTTTCTTGCTCTGAATTTATTGAGCTGCTTCTATTGTTCTTACACTGTTTTCTAGGAATAGCCCTCTTGAAGATCCTGGGAGCCCCGCAGTTTGGTCAGTTTAGTTAGGAATAACTTGTTGCTCCTTGGAGCAGTATCTGGGGGCTGATCTCAGGGATCCCAGGATTCTGTAGTTCTGAGGGTTGAGCTCTGTGCCCCAGTTCCCAAGCAGTAATAAATGGCAGGTTAGCACAGCAGGAGGCTAGTGCCTGGAGCCTGTGGGGGCCTAGAAACTTTTCTAGAGCTGGGTTTCCTGAGGTTGGACCAGAAGTTTCTCCTCATCGTGGGGTTTCCTCCCAACAGGCAGACCCAGTCGGTGGTGTTTTGGGGTCTACAGTTCTCTCCGAGGTGGCTCATAGAGTGAACGTAGGTGTAGAGTGGTGGCTCCAAGCTGGCTACTGGGCATCTGCAGTAACCCAGGAGATTTTCCTGAGAACTTTTCCGTGTGTGTGTATGAGTGGGGGGGCGGCTGAGTGCTCTAAGCAAGGACCTGCCGTTTCCCTCACTGTGGGACTTTCTCCTGACAGGGAAACCCGGTCTCTGGTGCCCTGGGGCCTACAGTTCTGTCTGGGATGGTGAATCTGATGCACAGCAGATCTCTGGGCTGGCAGCTGTGGGCCTGCTGGGCCCCAGGACCTTTTCCAGGGAATGCCTGGGTGACCTGAGGTCGGTTCCATTTGTTTCCTTCACTGAGGGGTTTTCTTGCGACTGGAAATTGCAGACTCTGGTGTTTTGGTGCCCATAGTTCAGCCTGAGAAGGTGATCAGGACACTCTGGCATGTGGCTCTGGGCTGGCAACTGAATGCCTACAGGGACCCAGGAAATCTTCTGGATTTTAGCTGGATGACCTGAGACTGGACCCGATTGATTCCCACACCATTACACACACATGGACACTGAACAACTCACTACTCAATGTCAGCTGGGTCAGGGAAGAAATAAAGAAAGAAATTAAAGTCTTCCTAGAATTCAATGAAAATGAAGACACAACATACCCAAACTTATGTGACACAATGAAAGCAGTGCTAAGAGGAAAGTTCATAGCATTAAGTGCCTTCAAGATGAAACTTGAAACATCTCATTCAAGCAACTTAATGGCTCACCTAAAAGCCCTAGAAAAAAGAAGCAGACACACCAAAGAGGAGTAGATGATTATGAAGGACCACCCGGGAATGAGAAAAACAACTGTGATTATTTGAATTGACGCCGGGTGCAGATAGCTCTTGAAGGGCAGGATGAACTGTTCTGAGAAAAACTATCTACAACCAGCTGTAAACTATCTACAACCAGCTGTAAACTATAGAGCAAAAGTGGTCTGATTTTCAGGTATAAAAACCCTGTGCTTTGCATGTTCGGGGTCGTCTCCTGTCTTTGGAGGGGCAGCCCTATCGCAATAACAATAAACCTCTTGCTTTTGCATCAAGTTGTGGTCTGTGAGAATTCCTGGGAAGGGCGCGATCCTGAGCTCCTGAGCAGTGAGAATCCAGGTCATAAATTGGAAATAATAAAACTCAAAGCTGAAATCAATAAATTAGAAACAAACAAAACAATTCAAGGAATCAATGAAACCAAGAGCTGGTTCTTTGAGAAAATCAACAAGATAGACAAACCCTTAGCCAAACTAACTAAAAAGCAGAGAGATATTATCCAAATCAACAAAATCAGAAATGAAAAGAGAGACATAACAACAGACACTGAGGAAATCCAAACAATCATTAGGTCTCACTAAAAAAAGCCTATATGCCACAAAATTTTAAAATCTAAATAAACTGGACAATTTTCTTGATCGATTACACATTCCAAAACTGAATCAAGACCAGGTAAATTAAATAGTCCAATATCCCCTAAGGAAATAGAAGCAGTCATAAAAAGTCTCCCATCCAAAATAAGTTCAGGGCCAGACAGTTTCAGCGCAGAATTCTACCAGACCTTCAAGGAAGAGCTAAGACCAATACTTTTTAAACTATTCCACAAAATAGAAACAGAAGGAACACTACCAAACTCATTCTATGAATCCACAGTCACCTTGGTACCTAAATCTCACAAAGACCCAACAAAGAAAGAGAATTTCAGGCAGATCTCCCTTATGATCATTGATGCAAAAATACTCAACAAAATACTTGCAAACTGAATACAAGAACACATCAAAGATACCATCCACTATGACCAAGTAGGCTTCATCCCAGGTATGCAGGGGTGATTCAATATACAAAAATCCATCAATGTGATCATCATATAAACAAACTGAAAGAATAAAACCACATGATAACCTTCTTAGATGCTGAAAAAGCATTTGATAAAATCAAACATCCATTCATTTTTAAAGTCTTGGAGAGATCAGGGATACAAGGCACATATCTAAACATAGTAAAGGCAATATACAGCAAGCCTATAGCCAATACCTAACTAAATGGAGAGAAACTTCAATCAATCCCACTGAAATCAGGGACAAGACAAGGCTGCCCACTCTCTCCATATCTCTTTAATATAGTTATTGAAATCCTTGCTAGAGCAATAAAACAATTAAAGGAGATCAAGGGGATACAATTTAGAAAGGAAGAAGTCAAATTATCACTATGTGCAGATGATATGATAATATACATGAGTGACTCCAAAAATTCTACCAGGGAACTCCTACAGCTGATAAACACCTTCAGCAAAGTGGCTGGATATGAAATTAAGTCAAAAAAATCAGTAGCCCTCCTGTATACAAAAGACAAAAAGGCTGAGAAAGAAATTAGGGAAACAACACCCTTTACAATAGCCACAAAAGACATAAAGTACTTTGGTGTGACTCTAACCAAGCAAGTCAAACACTT